TTTCCTCTCCTTTCCTCTTTCCTTTCCTTTCCTCTCCTTTCCTCTCCTCCCCTTCCCTCCCCTCCCCTCCCTATTCCCTCCATTCATGTGATGGCTGCTCCTTTCCACTGGCCATAATGAATTACTTGGCTGTATCTGCACAAAGCAACAGCACCCTCCCACACACCCCATTTCCTTGCAGACCACAGCAATGGTACAGTCAGACAGCAGAGCTCCTGACTTACCCCAGGGAAGTGACTTCAAAAAGTGGCACCCTTCCTTTGTGTAACCTTTGGGAATGAGCTGCATGAGGTAAACATGGAAAAAAAGCAAGGGGAATCAAGAGATGCAAATCTACACTACAGTATAAAATACTCTAGATCAAAAGTGGTACTTTGGAAGAAGCCAAAGCTGTAGCTACAGGGTAAGTCATTACTAACCCTGGCCTGGCAGCAGCTCACGACAGACGCATACGATGGGGAAAATTCCGGCAGGACAGTCCGCTGCCTGGTGGAATGGGAAAGGTGGCTTGGCAGTAGATGGGAGCAGAAAGAATGCCGATAGAATATTCCTGTTGTTTTGCGATGAAGAACTAACTCCCTGACAAAGTTTTACCTAGAGACACATTTCAAAGGAAAAAGAAATATTTAGTTGTCTGAAGGTACCATGCTCAACTTCAGGGAAGTCCAGCTAATTAATGGTGTTGTTGGTACTAACCTGGGCAAATGAAACTGGAGCGGTATCGCATGACAAATGTATGTGCTTTCAGGTAATTCTGTGTGATAACAGTGGTTTAGACTTTCCATTCCAGCAAGGGCGAGTATTTGGAAGCAAGACTGGAGAAGGAGCAGGCTGTAGTAGCATGCCAATGTCAAAATAACTGACCACAAATACGAGAAGCTAGCATGGGAAAGGGCTTTCTCTTTGTACAGGGAAATACTGATCCGTTAGCTAAGAGGTGGGATGCCTGTGGATTCTCACCTACTTGCTCACCAAAAACTGCCACATCACATCAGTCTAAGCTTCGCTACGATAATTCTTCCATTTTCCCATTCATAATCATCAACAACTCGTAAAAGACCATGCTTGAAACAACACAGTAACAGTGTCTAATGATAACAGTTTACCCGGTCTCTGGGTGAAATCTGCCTGCAGGCGAGGGAGGGCTTCGGTGAGGGAGGAAGGACAGCCCAGGAAGCAACCCTAACTCAGAGCGCAACGCTGTGCTGCCCTGAAGTCACGGCCGCTACGCCAACATACTCTCCTGAAGTTCTCTCGCTGATTTAAGCAGCCCTAACCTATTTTGCGCCATCATCACGTACCTTTCCAAAGGACGGTGACTTTGGAAACTGCCTGGACTACGGAGGGTGTTTCACTGGACAAGATACTTTACAAGAAAAGAAGCACACAGCTCTCTCCAAATTCTGTGGTTTGTTGTATTTTTTGCTCAAGATCTCTTTAGACACCCAGCCCTATTTACCATTCTAACTTCCTGACTACAGAAGTTTCATTTTAAAATGCAAAAAAAGATTTTTCCTACCGCGTACACCGAAATTTAAAATCCTAAAGTCAGACTGCTCTTTCCTCAGTCATGTACGAGGGCCCCAGGCAAGGATCCTTCTGCAGGCTAGATTACGCTCTCCGTTACACTTTTATAAACCCGACGAAATGCTGCTTCCTTTACAGCCTATCAGCACAGCACTCGCAAGGGCGTATGAACCCGGCCCGAAGCAGAATGGTGCACCTTGTGTTCCCAGAGAAGATGTAAACTGCAGGCCAACAGTCAGCTACAACGGACCTGACAAAAGGGATGCTACGGCCAGGAAAGTGATCCCCGTGAAAAAATGTAATACCAGTTTAGTTTGGCTTATCCCTTTCCACGCCCTACTGCATTCTCCCCTCTCCTACCTCTTCCACGTCCTCTCTCTGTTGAACAGTCCTTCAACTGCATTCTTTGGTAGGTCTCACCCACCTACCAACGTGCAGTTTAGATAAGCATTAACGCCGATGTCCATGCGAAACAGAGCAGTGCGTTATGCCATTTCCCTTTTTTACTCACAAACGATGAATTTCCAGTCTGTAATGAACAGCATTAATCCGAAGCTTTTTATTTTATTTTCACCTCCCAAGCTGTAACCTAAAGATTCCTGAGCATTTTGCTTGAACTGTTCTCCCAAGATGGACAGCCATCACACACTTCTCCCTTCTAAACAACGAGGCAGATCATGGAAAAAAACCCAGAGTGCTCAGAGAGGGACTGAAATCTAGTCCTAAACACTCCTACAGTCCTCCGCTCGCAGTCTGAAACCTTTTATTGTAACCATTTGAACCCGAGTCCATCAGGGAAGATCTCAGGCACGTTTCAGCCTCACATGCTGAAACAGCAGCAGACACACTGTAGATCCTCCAAGCCCAGCAGCTCATGAGGATCAAACACTGCGCTTGTAAATGCAGCCTGCTGCAAATGTAAGCTGGCACACTGAGGCAAACTTTGAATCTGTCAAAACCTGCTGCCCAAGATGTCAGGGCGCGCTCAGCACAACAGCCTGTGCAGGCAGGCTGGTGAAGCATTAAACGCTGAACGGTCAGCCACCGGCAGAACTTTGAAACCTGGTTGGACCACAGCCAGCAATAAGCCCTAAGATGTAAGAAATGTGAGTTTGCATTTATGTTGCTCACTGGAAG